ACAGCTCCTTCTCCCTTTTTATTGGTGACTGGATTGATGGAACATTCGTCATTGGTGGTCAGGGTTTGCCAATCATCATTGGTGACATCATTCCCAGGTTTTGTGCAGGATATTGCAGGAGTATAAATACAAGAGCTTGTAGGAAAGAGGCTCAGTTCCAGAGGTGATGAGGTGGGAGTGAGTAGGAATAGTGAAGATGACCTCCCAAGTGTATCAGAACTATCACAAGGACTGTGAGGATGCTGTTAACTAGGCAAGCAGATCAACCTGGATCTCTATTCCTCCTATGTTTACCTCTCCATGGTGAGGTTTCTATTCCTGAGGCTGTATTCTGAAGAAGCTAGATTTTTGAGAGTTTTATGATGTGGCCTGAAATACTAATATTTCCCTTTTACTGGGAAAAGGCAGCTACCTTGTACTGAGTGTCTGTCACCTGCAGTGCAGGTTCCATTGCTGTATGAATGGGCTGTGTTCCAACAGCTGATCCATAATGTTTAATAGGGCTTAGGTGACTCTTGCTCTGAAGGTGTGCAGTCTTGTCTGTCTGGAAAAATTGATTAGGAAATGAGTAGCTGGCTGGAAAATAAGGGTATGTTTGGACAACTCTTTCTACTTCCTGCATCAGAAGTTTCAAAGCACCTGTGCTTCAGACAGATCATGTCTCTAAATGGGTTAATTATACAGGAGCTAAAATTAGTTGGGGACGTGATCTTGAGATATAATGGTAGTAGTGTTTCCTCTGGAACTGGATGATGCTAGCTGAAGTCTCACCTGTTTCCACATGTGTTGCAATATATGCAACTGGTTGCTCAGTTCTCCTGATGCTTGGTGGTGTCCGTTCCTGTGAGGAAGGTCTGTTTATAAACGGCTGTCCTAGAGGTGCTTGGTAACATCTGAATAAGTTGATAGCAATTGCTGAGTTACTGCCTGTATCTCCAACTGAAAGAACACTCCCATCGGTTATGGTGTGAGCAGGTAGTCACCTGCATTGGTGATGGTACCTGCTACAGTGTTGGCAGGTCCTCCCTTCCTCCCAGTGAAGGACTGGGATTTCTGGTGGCTTGTGATATACTAATCACCCTATTGGGCTAGGCCTGTAGTGTCTTGAGGACAGATCACTGTTTCAGTGTCTGGGGATTGTCATTCCAGATGTTGGTGGGAACCTGCCTGCTCCTAGATATGCTGCTGAGTAACATCTGCCTAAATTGGGTCGGTTTAACCCTGTGGGTGTACTCCATACACAGCCTTGGGAAATGTATTTGTGACATGGAATACTATATTGAATGGTAATGGTATCTTCTGACTGAATCTGAAAAGAGTTCCTGCTTCCTTTTAAAGACTAGTGAGCTATGCTGGGTTTTGACAGTAACATCAGCTTTGTGTATCAAATAAATCTCGCTGTCTTTGTTTTTTAAATCTCAATATACAATTAGTGCTGCTGTTTTCCCACAGTTCTTTCTTTGACTGGGATGATGTTGCCCTGTGTCACTTTGAGTTCTTCAAGGAGCAGTCCCATGAAGAACAGGAACACACTGAGAAACTGATGGCATTCCACAATAAACGTGGAGGCAGAGTCCTCCTGCAAGACATCAAGGTTGGGTTTCGTGTCTATCTTGCTAGATATGGATCAGGTAATTCTATTGGCTTAGTAGTAATACTGTATACCACATTAAAAAATTAAATTAATGGATAAAGTGACTTGAGCATCTCTTTCCAACCTCCTCTTCCCACCCTGACCCCTCTCCAGCCAGAGCAGGATGAGTGGCGCAATGGTCTGGAGGCAATGCAGAGAGCTCTGCAGATGGAGAAGGATGTGAACCAGAGTCTGCTGGATCCACAAACTCTCCTCTGGCAACACGGACCCTCATGCGAGTTCCTGATGTGGGCTTTTGGTGAAGTTGGGAGTGGCAGCTTGATTGAACTCACTCGCCTTTGAGTTTAAGGTCTTGCTTTGAACTGATAACCAGCCCCATGAGGGCTGTTGTGCCTGAATTAGACTAACAAATAAATATTCCAGTGATGCTGAGATCTTCAGCCTGACTTCAGAACCCCAACAGGGTTGAACCATTCAACTTAGCCTAATGAATCCCACTTGCCCTCAGAGCATCTAACCCTCCCATCCTGTTGCTCCACATTTTCCCATGGCTAGCCCACCCAATCTGTGCATCTTTGGACTTGGGTAACCAAGGCTGGATTTGAACAGGAGTCCCTGCTGCTGTGAAGCAGCAACAACCATCGAGCCATGATGCTGCCCCTTGTGCAGAAGAACTGCTGTCCTCTTGTTCCAGTTTAATAACTAAAGCCCCCTATCCAGGGACATGGTCTTTGTTGTCTAAAGAGAATGCTCTTTTCTTTAGCTGTGTGACTTCTTGGAGAAGTCCAAAATTGCTCAATGTTCCAAACCCAGTCTGACCACAGCTTTCGAAAACCACAGAAGTACATACCTGCTTTTATATCCTCGTTCTCTTGAAATAAGTGCCAAGATTTTATTTGCCTTCCCAACTGATGCAACCTGCAGGTCTACCTTGGGAGTTCTAGTCCAGGATTCTCTCAAGTCCTCTTGCACTCCTGGTTTCTGCATTTTCTCCCCATTTAGGAAACAGCATGCCTCTCCTCTTCCTAGAGGAGTGCATGACTTCATTTTCCCACCATGTATTCCATCTGCCTCCACTTTGCCCTGTGGTTTTCCCACACCCCTGGATGTTGGCATCCCCTGTGATCACTAACGTCACTTTTCTTACACATCTTCATCTCCTGGTCTGTCTTGTGCTCCAAATCCTGACACTACTGTTGAGGCCTGTACATAACTCCGATTATGGTTTTTTAGCCTTTGTAATTTCTCAACTGCCTATGGATTCTACATCTGACCCTATGCTGTTTCTTGCTATTGAAGTAATTTCACTTTATTTATAAGGCAACCCTACTCCCTCTGCCCACCTTGATAGGATGTATATCCTTGGATATACAGCTCCCGGTCCTGATCCCCTTGCAGCCATGTCTCCATCACATCATACCTGCGAATTGCGAGGCACCACAAACACTTACCTTATTTTGTATATTGCATGCATTCTGAAACCAAACCTGTATTGACTGTCCTTCTTCTCATTGCCATTTGTTTATCGAGTGTGGTTGAAGTTTTATTCTTAGCCCTTTCCCAATTGTCCTATTGTGTGTTCTGGAGATTTAAATAACCTCTCCCACATTCTCCTGTTCCTTTTTGTCACTTTTTTTCCCATGCTGTTGGATCCATCTCCACAGGTGTTAACCTGCTGTTTTGTTTCCCTGTTGGCCATTATACTAGATGCTTTACCCTCCCACCCCACCCCCACTTCCTAGTTTAAAGATGATTCCCTTTAAATTTTACATTCTTATTTATCCCAATAACTCAATCCCTTTGCCTCAGCCTATCCACCCATCAGAATGAAATGGCACTACCTCTTGGTGAGTTCCAAAATCACACAACTCATCTTTCTCTTGACCTGAAAGGTCACGTCCCTATTAAACAGCTGTCACTTGTGAACTTGATATGTTTAGAATTGGCAAATATTTGCCATTGTCCACAGTAGCCTAATAGACCATTTTATACCCACTGTTTCTCATTTGTTTGGGACCAGTCATTACATGTTTATCATTTTCACTTGTACAACTGAATTGATACCAGTAAGCCAATAATCCACTCAATGCCTTCCATCTGTATTTAAATGTATACAAGGGACAATTAGTGAAGCAGGTACAAACTCACATGAGGGGCCATGTGGCCAGAGGTGAGTTTGTACAGATCCAGCAGACTCTGGTTCACATCCTTCTCCATCTGCAGAGCTCTCTGCATTGCCTCCAGACCACTGCCCCACTCCTCCTGCTCTGGCTTCTGAAAACAGCATAAGGCAGTTCCAACCACTAGTTAGTTACTCACTAGCAGTACCGCAGAGCAGACCAAAGATCACATCAAGGGATGCTGACCACTGTTGTGCACAATTGACACTGGAGACCCCAGGAACAGGAGGTCAAATCCTTTTCTCCTGCCTCCATTCTTTCATGGGTGCCACTGCCAGTATTTGTTACTCATCCCCAATTGCCCCTGACCAGAGTTGTTTGCTCAGCCATTCTGGAGGTCAGTTGAGTCAAATTAAGTTGCTGTAAGTCTGGAATCATCTATCGTAGTGTGGTGAACCCATACAGTGTGGAAGCAGGCCATTGGCCCATCAAGACAGCACTGACCTGCTGATAAGCATCCTTCACAGAGCCACCCCATCCCTGTAACCCTGCATTTTTCCCCATGGCCAGTCAACCCAAACTGCACATCTTTGCATTGTGGGAGCAAAGCACATAGATAACAGGAGTGTGTGCAAACTCCACAGGCAGCCAGCCATGGGTGGAATTGAACCCAGAACCTTGGCACTTCTGCCTCAGTGCCAACCACTGCAGACCAGGCAAGATGCTAGCTTTATCTGGCTGTAAAATGAGGGAACCACACTTCATTTTAATGTTAAACAGTTGCATGGTCACTGTGTCCACTTTGATATCTCAATTTAAATTTTCAAAAAGATAGCTGCCATAGGATTTGAACCCACATTCCCAAAATATTACCTTCAGTTTCTGAAAGACAGACATGACAATTACCCAATATCTTAGTCTGAGGAAGCTTCACAGGGTTGAGATACTGCAAATTTCTAGATGTAATTAGATAGCTGCATTAACAACATTTAAAAATCCTGTTTCCCACCACTAAACCACATCAGTAAATTGGATAATCCTATCTCCCCTCATATTGGAACTTAAATATTCCAGGAGGAACTAGAAAATTCTAAACAATGGCCAACATTACTTTCCATAAGAGCCTTACATTTTGATCTGGCACCTTTTTAATCCAAAAAGAGGATTCTGGACCAGTAATCTCAATCTGCATTTGCTTCTCTTCCTGAGAAGTAGACCACCTCACCTGTCATGTTGGCTGAGGAAGAAACCTAGTTTAAGTAGGATAGCTCAAAAGTAGATGACAACATTTTACCCCAAACACCTTTTGTACCCAGATTCATGTCTAACTGATGGCTGCTTCCAGTTCCTTCAGTTGAGGAATACTATCATCAATCGTATTGATGAGGAGGATTTGCCACACACTTCCTCAGGCACCCTGAATCTAATTTGGATGTCCTGCAGGATGACTCAGCCTCCACATTTATCAGTTTCTCAGCATGTTCCTGCTCCTCAAAGAACTCAGCAAAGTGACAGGGCAACATCATTCCTGTTAGTGAGAACTGCAAGTAGAGAGAAAAGAGTCAAGCAGTGCCCAAGTTAAAACAGACTAATCCTCTTCCTGTTGAGGAATTAGGATCATTAAAACCCTGAAGAGCAAGGTTGAAGGAATAAAGCAGGAAGTGCTAGAGAGAAACAGATCTAGTAGCTTTGGAGATGGTACTGATGCTGCTGGGCCTGTGGTGTTTCTCTCCAACTGACACAGTAGTTTGCTTTAATTTGGCAAAGCAAAGCTGCACGGTGGTATTGCAGATTAAAATTGCTTTGACCTACAAGAATGGAGTAATCTCCTTGGGAAGGGCTTTTGTAGTGCAGTGATAGTGCTCCTACCTCTGGACCAGGAGTGCAGGTTTCAGCCCCACCTGCTTCAGAGGTGGGTCATAGCATCATTGATTACAAATGGACATCTGTTGAAGGTAGGAGGGATGGTTAATGCTGCTTATATTCAATTTCCAGGCCAGCTTTCAATCTGCAGTTCCATCTATTTAGCAGACTCCAACCCCACTGGTAAGCAACAGCTAATTGAACAGATTCTCCCAGTTAAGTTTAATACTGTCACTCTCCAAGTCTAGAACACAATACTTGGAATTAGGGAAGGAAAAATAGTGGTGACTACCATCAACATCTTTGTTATGCACAGACATTTACTCACTTCAATCCAAGGTCAAAATCATTAGAAAAAGTCCTTCAAGCTTAGAAATTACTAAGCATTAGATTAGCTTGTTCAGTAACACTAACTAATCAAATTAATCTCAATCCAGTGTACTCATTTTTTAATGGAAGTTGCTTCACAATGCTTACAAACATCCAGGGCAGATGGGATTTGAACCCAAACACATTCAGCCCAAGCTAAGGGGCACTCACTATGCCAGATGATTGATAGAGTCACAGATGGACAGCAACTAAATTAATCTAGTTACATATCCCTCTAAGCCTTTCCTACTAAAGTACCCATCCAGATGCTTAGTTATTGTATTAGCTTCTCTGGCAGCTCATTCCATACAGAGATGGTCTTCTGTAAGAAAGTTACTTCACAGGTAAGTTAAAATCTTTCCCCTGACCTTTAACCAATAGTTTTGGACTCCCCTCCTCTGGGGTGAAAGGCCTTGGCTATTCATCCTATCGATGCCCTTTGTTATTTTATTAGCCTCTACAATTGACTCCTCCACTGCCAAATACTCCAGGGAGGATAGCCCCAGCTATTCA